ACGCCAGGCTCGATGCCTTGGAGACTCGAATGGCGACTGCGGCCCTCCCGCCGCAGGCGAAGGCTCCCCCTCCTCCCAAACCTCAGGTACGTGGCACTCCCAAGAAGCGCTCGTACGCGGCGGCGGCCGCCCCTTCTCGTCCGGCTCCTCCCGTGACGACTCCGAACCCGCCCGCTACCCCGAAGACTCCTAAGCCCAAGCAGGTTGCGGAGCCCTTGCGGTACGTGGTTCGATTTACTGGCTCCGCGCTGGCCCACTTGCTTCAGACTCCCCCTGCCCAACTGGTCAGTGATGTGAACGCAGCACTGGCTGCGATTCCAACTGCTGGAGGAATGGCTGCGCTTGCGGTCTATCCGAGCTCCTCTGGCAACATCGTCCTGGCCTTCCCTCCTGCCACCTCCTACCGCCGCATTGACGAACATCTCCCGACCCTCTGTGCTGCCCTCAAGCTCGACCCGGATCACCATGTCTCCAGGGACGTCAAGTGGTCTCAGATTCTCTTCGGCAATGTCAGCACCCGGGCAGCCCCTGGCGGCGCTGTCCACTCGACGTCGACTCTGTCGACCGAGCTCATGAAGAACCCCGCGCTTGCGCGCCTCCGCATCACCCAACCTCCGCGCTGGGCACGTCGACCTGAGCAGATCGACGGTGCTCGCTCGTCCGTCGTCCTCGGCTTCGAAGACCCGGATGGCTCCATCCTCACTGCCCTCCTTCAGACCCCCCTCTTCGCTTTCGGTACTCCCGTCACCACGTCGCGCTGGCATGATAAGCCGCGCCTCCGACAGTGTACGAGGTGCTGGGGTTATGGCCACCTCGCTGCAGGATGCGCGAAGCCGCCCCGGTGCCGTGTCTGTGCTGGCCGCCATCTTGAATCGGTGCACCGCGCTCGGTGCGCCATGTGCGCGAAGGAGAATCGCGCCGCCTCCGAACCCTGCGCTCATGCGCGTTGCGTCAACTGCCGTGGTCTCCACCACGCCGACTCCGACCAGTGCCCCAAACGCACCTCTTTCCAGAGTGCTGGCCTCGCTCCGACCTCCTCTCTCGAGCGCCCCGCGCTGCCCTCTACTGGCGACTCGGATGTTGCTATGTAGGGGCGAGTGCGACTTCAATTTCCACCACGTTCCTTTCTTTCCATTTCTAGCGCCCCCCGTCCGCTCCCCTCCGTCACCACAAGGCATGCCCGCACCGAATAC